AGTACGATGATGCTATGTATCTGTTGCAAGACTTTTTGTTGCTATGACAACAAATCAGACAAGATGAACTTTATCAGCAAAGGATTGAATAAAATAGTTCTAGCGCAATCCGGCGATAGTCTTCTGCAAAAATACAGAAAAGTACTCGACGAAGCAATCAAATTGACTTCAACAAACAGAGGATTTAGAACCATTGATCATACGGTTGCTACACAGGAGCAAACAAAGAAGGGATTGAGTTACTTTTACCCGAAAAGACAAGTTCAGGGCGACGGACTACACACAAAACCTTTGAACTTGTAAATAACTGATAAGGTAATAGCATTCAATTCAGTATTGATTAATTAACTGTAAGCTTGTGGTAGAATGATTATACGAAGCAGTGATTCCCATACTTCATCTTTTGATTTTAACCCTTTTCTCAAAAAACAAGATTTTTTTTCTCGAAATTTCGTTTGGTTCCATTTAAGCTTCAGATAGTTTTCTCATAGTTTCAAACAGATAAAACATTAATCGAAACATCTAAATTGTAGAAGTTAGCTAAAAACGCAAGTATCGGCAAATCGAGCTCCAAAAATTTCGGGCGCCAAATTTTTTTTTTGAAACTTACCATCTGAAACCTTAACATCTTAATACATAGGAAACCTAATTCCTATCTTAATACATAGAAAAATTTATACCCTATCTTAATACATAGCTTGCAGACCGGATGCTCTGTTCCTTATTTTAATACATTGGGGTCTGCGACCAACCCCCCTCACTCTCCCTCACTCATCTACTTCTGACTTCCATACAAAAAAATGCTTATCATACATTTTCATAAATGAAGCCGCTGGAAAACTGCTTATCATACCATTTTTGTAGAACTCCGTCGCTTAAATTTTAACAAAATTTGTTTGGAACAAGTTTCACAACAAAAAAGCAACAAATACAGAAAAGTTTTAAGATTATTCTAGCTTATTCTGTTTTTAACAATGCAATCATGGTCGAAAAATTGCTCATTTTTTCTCATTGAACTGCAAAAAATGAGCAATTATTTGAACTGAATTTCTTATAAAAATAATGTCAGCCGTTTGTTGCTGTGTATCCTCAATTTTTTTAGAGAAAACAAAAATGAACATTGAATGAAATTTTGCAATGAAAAACAACCAAGAAAAAAGTCTTTTTGAAAGACCAACATATGTATAAAAAAATTTTGTTCGAACTTTCGAGGAAAGTGAGGAAAAGAGACGCTCGGGTGGTTGATTTCAAATCAGACCCAGACGGGTGTGCTTACCTTTACGACTATTGTATTTCACCAAGCGTCCGTCTAAGCTGCTCAGTTTATAATTTACATGCCTGGCATTTTATCCCTCACTAAAAATAGTTGTGAATTGAACTGCCGTTACTAATTCCATACACAAGTTAAACTGTAACATTTTAATTTTATTATGATCTATTTAAAAATCAAATTTTTGCCTGTTCTTAATAAGGCTCTTTTCCAGTTTTCCACCCCCTTATAACATTACACACAGAGGCGAAGCAGAACTTCGCAACACTTGTCATGCAAAAAGAGAGAAGTTTAAAAAAAAAATTTGAAAACTTAAGTTTTCATTAAGTTAAAGTTAGTCGAAAAACTATGAAAATTTTTTTAAAACGTATCAGATGAAGTTGATAAACAGCCCTTAAATAATGAAAATCAAATACGTAGCGCAGGGTCGGATTCAGTGGGGGCGAAATCCAGGGATTTTATGCAAGAAAATTTTCTATCATACATTTATATAAATGGATTCTGTGGAAAAATTCTTATCATACCTTTTTCCTAGAAAATATCTGTAAGATGAGTTTTTTCAATCAAACCTTTGTTCAAATATTATCTTAAACTGGTTTAAAACTCAAAAAATACAGTTTAGTGGCAGTTTTGATTAGATTAGTGCAAGTTTGGCATTAAAAAATCCAAACAAAAAAATTTATTCGAACAACAAAAATGTATATGATACGATTTTTACTATACAAAAATTGTAATTGAGATGGAAATTGTTGAGTTTTGTTTCGTTGCAAACTTGCTTTTGTGCTCTAATAAACATTTTATGAAAACAAAATTGCGCACAAAATTTGAAAATGTGTGTCTGTAACGTAGTCCATGTTATTTTTTTGAACAAAATTATAAAATGACAAGAGAGTGTTTTTAGAACATATTTTTTTAAGCTATCAAAAATTTCAAATTGAAATTTTTGTAGCCACATACAAAAAATAACGTTTTTGTGTATCACTGATTGAAAATGTACACAATAACTTACATGGCTAATATAAGCAAATGCTATTTGTATGTGTGGCAAATGTCACTTACTCTGGGCAAAAAATGAAACAATGTTTTTTGCATTTTCATTTTTGAAAAAGTACCTAACATATGTTCCCATGGAAAAAAGAAAATTGCTTATAACACATTTTCTTAGTATCAAAAAAATCGCTTTTGCTTTTTTCACACAGTTTCCGTTCAAAAAATGGCAAAAAATTTAATTCCAGAGTATGATAAAAACAATGCTTGAAGTAAAATTTCATAGATTCGAAAAAAAAACATATTTTCATACATAGTATTTGGGTCTATAAAATTGTATGATACACATTTATTTTCATATGAAAATCTACGATAAACTTTTTTTGTCAATCCGGGCACTGCTTTCATTGGGGCACCTAACTTCTTTTTTCTACGATAATTCAACTGTTTTGGACCATTGAGACACTTTTTGACAAAAAAGAACTAAGAACATCATGACAATGTTTGAAATAGAAGTATGAATAGAAAACAATTTATGTCACTCAACTGCTTTTTAATTTTTACTTGAGTTTGAAGTATTAAGTTTTAATTTGATTTTTATGTTGTTTTTTAAAACTTCCAATTCGAAAGTTTTAGCTTATTTCTTGATAAACTTTAAAAATAATGACCTTTTTGGTGAAAGATTTTAGCTCCATTTTTTGCCAAATAATTTACACCATTTACACCAATAACTTACAAAATTCTGATGAAAAATCTTTTGTTATCTTTACTTTTTGGGTAATTTTAATCAGCACACTACAAAAGTGCTTCGGAAAAGTGTCCGGTTGTGTTTAGCAAAATGGATAATGTTTAATGACAAAACAGAATTTCTATATTATTTTACAGGTTTGCAGACGACTGATTTTCTTGAACTAAAGAAAGTCCCAATTATCGCATTAATTGCAAAAAACCCAATGTATTCAAACTGCTTCTTTTAGCTGTACCGATTCAAGGCAAAACCTCCGCAAAAAGTTTGAATTGTATATCCGTTGCATGCACTTTTAATGTTTTTGAAGCTCGAAAAATTTTGGTTTTTAAACTAGTCAAATTAAGTTAGCAATAATCATAAATGACTGTACTATTATAATTTGAAATTCTTAACTTTATTCTTTTGTATCCATATCAATTTTTATTGAGATGAAAATGCACTTCACAAGTACAAACGAAACAATGAGTTTTAGAAGGCAAAAAACTTAAAAATTTTTTAACACTTCAAGATTTGAACAGCAATCTTTCACAGTTAAACTATAACGTCTTCACTACTGCGACATTGCAAAAATTCAAAATGTTTAGCCATCAGATAATTGGGAATACGTAATTGCTTTTCAATGTGCGGCTAAATTTTACCTTTTACACGTATGAAAAATCCGCGAAAAAAGAACTCAGCGAAAAATTTGGGAAAAAACTCTGCCGAATCTACACTTAGCGAAAGAACCAAAGTCTTTATCGCGCCGTTAGAGCTTCACTTTGTTTAAATCATTTGTTTTTGGGTTGGACAGCGAAGATCCAAGATCGAAAAAATTCCTATGGCAGAATCCCCAATATTACTCTGGTTTTGTCGTCGAAATGGCATACTACTCCTTGAAGTTAATCCAATAATAATCATAATTAACTAATTCAAGGAACAAATATGGCATTGAGGCTGATTGAAATTGAAGAAACTTTCATAATCGACACCCGAAAAATCTACACAATTTTGAAAAGCCAAGTATGTGTTTCTGAAGAGCCAATGCCATGTTTCTGAAAATCCCTTAGTTATCTTACGTTGAAAAAAAATTTACCACAATATTTTATATTAAATGATTTTCTTTTCGCGCCATTGGCCTTTTCGCCATTGGAAAGTCAAGTCCTAAAAAGATATTCTGGAGCGTGAACAACCTTGGATAGCTTTTAATGAAAAAACAAGGATAGCTGTTTGCTGCTTGAATAGCACAGAAAATTCTGACGGCAGTAAATTATTCAAAGAAAGTACAACAAAATTTATATTTAAAGTCGCAAAAAAACAAAGGTTTTTACCTTTTATCCGTTTGTTTTGAACTTTGCATTTTCTATATTAAAAGTTACTGAACTCAGGGACGGATTTAGGGAGGGGGATGCCTTCCTCTCCCTTTGTACTATTTTCCAATATCCATTTTTGGTGATGGATCCTAAAAATTCTTCGGCTCCAATATATACTAATTTTGAGGGGGAAGCGCGCATCGAAAAAACGCGATTATTTTCCGAAAAGTGCCTAAAAACGCCTTTTTGACCTGTTTTTCCAAAATTTTGCCGGCGGCGCACTTAACTTGGCCCAAATAGGGACAAAACAGTGCTTTGGGAGAGGTCGAAAAATCGATTTGGTCGACATAAAAAAAGGTCGACAAATTTGAAAATCCGCCTCCCCTCGAGAAAACCCTAGATCCGCCCCTGACTGAACTAGTTCAAAACTGCAAGACTCAGTAACACTAATAGCCAAATAAATCATCAAACTGCAGTAATATGATACCACAATTGACCCTGTGCTAACTTCTTTCGAGTCAGTAAAAAATCGTGAGGAAAACCGGATCCTACGCCATAGTTCATTCCCCTATTCGATGAAGTTCAGAGCAAAAATTAAAACAAAATCAAACAACCAACATAAGTGATCGTTCATTTACCTTGAGAAATGAGTGCGAGCAAAGTTAGAAACTTTTCAGTTTTCAGACAATTAGTTTCACTTAAAAACTTTCAAAATTAAAACATGAATTAAAGTTTAATACGAATAAGAACTACTGCATTTATAAAACATAGTCGAATACACTTTTGTTATGTGAACAGGGTGAAAACTTAGAAAACAAAACAGATGTCATTTACAATACACAGCACTAGAAACTAGAACTTTGAATATAAAAAGAAACAGTCTCCTGTAGTTAAGATGTTAGATTTGGATTCAAAGTAGGACTTGGAAACTTCCCAAGAAGAATTTAATAGACACAATAACGACCAAAGGCTGAATAATTAATTATGTCGTACGCAAAGTAAGTATTCACTTCTCAAAAGACATAAATTTTGAAATGACCATGCGCTCATGAAATAAAAAATAAATCTGCTATTTATTTTCTTTTACATCTATTAGTCCTATCGATGCAACAGACTTGAGTCAAATCTAATGATCACATGGCCAAGAGAGGTCAAAACTACAATAAACAGATTAGAAAACTTGAATCGACTAATTTAAATATTTCACAGGCTCAAAAGTTTTTGACACTTAAAGAGCTGTTTAAAGTAACATAGCTTCAATCTGAACGAAGATTTTTTAAAAAATAAGCCAAGAATAAAAACTCAAATTCTACGAACTGTAGACCAAATAAAATATGCTATTGGTTAAAACAAAATGAACTTACCAGACTATCATTGGACAAATAGAACATTTGAAATCAGAATAACAATTTGCAGCAAAACTCTCAATTTTACGCTACATAACTTCGAAAATTGAACTTTGAAGGCTTAGGCAATCAAAATTGAGAACTTTTACAGACGAGCAGTGGAAAATTATAACAGTAAATAGATTAAGCCATAAGTTGATTAGAATGCCTTGGGCATTTCAATAAAACAAGATTTAAACAACAATTTCAGGGGACGACAAAAAACCTACGACGACATACGAATCACAGAGTTAGTTCAAAACTATCCAAGTTCATGGAACAGCTCTTTTGTTATATGACAGCATTTCTTTCTCTTTTGATTCAGGTGCGCTTCGTTTTCTTTCCTTGGGGAGCCTGAAACATTAAATGTGTGAGAACAGGTAAAAGTAACAAGTAAGCTGGAAAAAAAAACATTCACAATTTTCATGGTTTTGAGTTAAAAAAATCGTTGAAGCTCTTAGAAATTCGAACAAAAAATTCTGAATATTTCGAAATCGTTTATTACACATTTTTCACAGAGGCAAAGCTTCGCTTCGCACGTACTAGCGAGCTCACGACAAAAAGCATCTCTATAAAGTGGAATAAGAAAAATTAGAAATAAGCCGCGAATTAGTGAAAACTCGGATACGTCTCGGATTCCATCACCAACGTAGAGATTATGAGTCTAACTCGCTAACCACTAAGCCACGGGCGCTTAATTATTCAAAACACAAGCCACAAATACAGCAGAGAACAGATGCAATGAAATTTCCAGTGCCACAGATCGTCATTATAGCAAAAAAGCCACCAAACAAGTGAACACTTTTATTTGCGAGTTAGGTTAGAAAAAAGGTTCGTACTAAAACACTATGCTGCTTTCAAGTGTAAGCAAAGGAAATCAACAAACAAGTGTAAAATCAAAATTAAAACCGCGAAAAATCAAACTTGAGCGTGACAAATTTTGAGAATTTCCTGAAATAAAAAACAAAAAAAAACATCACGACCTATAAGAGTGATGAAAATTCGAAAAAAATATGCCTACAAAAATTTCATGTTTGTAATGGATGCTGTTCATAAACAGCCTTAAAAAGCATTCTGAAAGAATTACCGAGCGGCAACAAAGGCTACAAAAGCCGACCTCTGTTGGCTCGAAAACAAGTCATGAAAAAACGTTGAGCTGTAAAATTTTTACGACCCATCCGTACTAAAACACAAAAAGCATAGCAATTCATTTTTCCCTCGAAACTACGTAATATAAATGACTAAGCCAATATAACATAAGCCGAAATCGTTAAATCGAAAAAAAAACGGTTGGAATGAAACCCATGTTTTGGAAAAAAAGCCCTTAAAAGCATACCAGGTAATATAAAAAACATAAAATAAAGCGACAGAAACTAGGAAGGACAAATACCACGAAGTTCTGCCTGAATTGAATTTCACCTGATTACTACCTAACCTCAACGATGGTAACTATATTAAAAATTTCAGGAAATTGAGCATGTCAGCAGTCGTGAAAATTACCATTCCTACAAAAACTGAGTTCTGTTTACAAAGTTGTTTACGGGAAAAATCTAGTACCCGGTGTTTGCAAACCCTTGCTGATCGCAAGAGCAATAAAACTAAACCCAATTGGGATATGATAATGAAAGATAATTTCTTCACACCGCTGAAAAAATGTAAATTTAAGTCCCTTCTCGAAACTAGAAATCACTGAAGTTTTTATCATTTGAATTTTAGCAATTGGAGATCGTAGTTTAAAAGACTGTGAGCAATTGAATTTTCCTTAAAAAATCAACACGACCTTTTTGAGCGTCTAAATTACGTTGATATGTAATTTTTGATAGCCCAGACTATTTGCACATCAGTATTGGACAGCGTAATTCGCCTTCCATGCAAGAAAAGAATTTAAACTGAACCTAGAAAATTAAAGATCAACCCAACCGCAAAAGAATAAATTTGAGCGAAAACAATTCCTAAAACATTTTTTCGGAAAAAAAATGTAAAAACCACTCGAATTAAACAACTGTCGATCATTTACACTTAGATTTTGCCGGTCAACCCTGAAAATGAGTGAAATGAAGTCGGTCCCTACCTCTTCTTCGTCCAGAGCAGCCACTCGTGCACTTCTCCTGGTGCCCTGAGCCCTCGGGGGAGGAGGTGGCTTGGCCTCTCGCTTCTTCGCAGCAGGCGCCTTAAACGAAAAAAAAAACAAATTAAGGGGACACTAATTTGAAAGTTTCAAAATTGGAAGCTAGCACTATCAATGCAGTACATCCGCGGACAAAATCATTTACAAAGTGGCTTTTAAGGGTATAAGATTTACAATTTTACCCTTCAAGTAATTGGAAGAAAAACGAGCAGTTGAATTGAAATTAAACATGTTCAAGTTACCTTCTTAGTTTCGGCTTTATTAGGCCGCCCTCTCTTCGACTGCGCAGGTGGCGTCTTCTCTAAGCTAGTTGTCGTCTCTTCCACATCGTCTCCATCTTCATCGTCCTCAGCCGGTTCTACTTTCTTGGGTGGGGCTCCTCTCTTAGACTTGGACTTCGCTTGTTTCGGAGTTGGGGGTGACTTTGTTTTAGGGGAAGATGTGGTTGTCGTTTCTTGAGTAGTTTCCTCCTTATCTTCTTCTTTTTCTTCTTCCTTGTCGTCTTCAGTTGGCTTTTTGGGAGATGCCGCCGTTTTCTTTGGGGGTGATTTCGATTTAGGTGTCTCTGCTTTCGTTTTAGAGGGTGGAGGAGATTTGGAGGATTTCTAGAAAACATTACAAATGACAATGGATACGACAGAAGAGATGCGCCTCAAAATTGTAACCAATTTTATTCCATAAATCAGAGAGCTGATTTTATTTGGCATATAGATTGAGGTGAACTCAATATAGAAACAATAAAAATTCAGTCTCATAAGTGTTATTGAACGCACAGAGAAACACCAAAAACGTTTTTTTAACATTCAATTTTCAAAGGAGAGAAATATGCCCTCCAAAATAAAATAAAAGTATTTGGAAACAGGAACCAATTCCTAAGCGCTCATTTTTCAAAGAACTCAACCAAAAACTTTCGAACTCGGATATTCGATCAAACCGTATAATTGAACTAAAATACTTCACCCCAAAAGATAGTGAATTGGCGAAAAGTACCTTTTGACGACGTCCCAAGTTCGTTTATAATTAACATTAACTTGGCAACTAATATATCGTAAGTACCTTTTGTGGAGTGACCGGGGCGGGCGAGAAGTCGGTGGGTTTCACTACCGTTCTCTGCCTCTGGGGTCTCCCTGATGTGTTCTGAGGGGGCGAAGGGACTGCTGCTTTAGTCTCCTTCTTCTTGGTCGGTTTGGGCGACGACTTCTTTATTGCTACTTCCTCTTTCGCCTCTTGGTCCGCTGCTGCTTCCTCTGACGTCTCAACTGTGTCATCATCAGCTGACGTCACTTCTCCATCTGTCTTCTCTGTAGTAATCTCTTCAGACACGTTCTCTGCAGTTTCGACAGTAGCTTCACCTTAAATCAAAGTTGAACGAACTGAATTAACAGTGTCTAAATATAACTGCAACTCTGAAAGGCTCTGCATGATGAAAATTACCTTATGATGCCAGAAACTTTAAAATGTTGTCATTATAGAGCCTTGGACAATCTTTTCACTAACCTGACTCCCCGCATAACACCGCCTCTGCTGGTTCAATTTCTTTCTCTTCAACCTCTTTTTCTTCATCGGTGACTTTATTTTCTTCAACATTGTCGGCCTCATCAGGAGCAAAATCCTCATTCTCTTCTATTTCAACTTCGTCAATTTTCTGCTCATTATCGTCTTCAATTTGTTCAGCTTCCTTTTCCTCTTCTTCAATCAATTCAGCAGTCTGTTCATCACTCACAAGTTCCTCGTCTTCTTCGGGTGCTTTTTCAACCATAGATACCTGGCCGACATTCTCCTCTTCAGCTAATGACTCCTCTCGTTCTATTTCCTTTTCAACAGGGGGATCTTCGTCGCAGATTTCATTGACTACCGGCTCCTCTGACTCATCAATTGCCTCAACATTTGACACCATCGGAACATCTCCTTGGTCGTCAACACAGGGTTCACTGATATTAGTTTCTGGATGGATGTGAGTAGGCGCGGGGGCCTCTGTTGAATCATCGACTTCCTGTTTATACTTCAGTACAGATGCTTCATTGTAGAATGCTTTCACAGGAGCTACTTCCCTGTCATCGATAACTTCTTGCACGTCGCCCTTAAAAAGAAATAACTCAAACAGCTGATCAAGCTTTCCTTTTCGCCAAATTTCGTAAATGATCCATGAATTAACAAGAAAACGCTCATTTAAAATTTAAAAAACATACCCAACTGACAGTTGGAAACAATAATGAACGCAAGGAAACAATAAAAACTGACTTGTTTATGAAAAAAATCAAATTTCGAATTAAAGCTCTTTGAATTTCAAGAACAGTTTATGCTTGAGACTTCTTTTGATAAAATTAAACCAACTTGAGAAAACTGAATCAATAGGTAAATCTTTAATTCAGGTGGGAAATCTGGACATTCGAATCTAGAAATCAATCAGGTTTTTCGCGACCTTTAAACTTCTGCTGTTCTAAATTGGAGCTTGCCTCTTTTAACAATGGAAATTAACTGAACTTAAAAAGAAATCAAAAGCCAACCGTAAAGAAAATCAAAATTGAGCGTGAACAAGTTTGAAGATTTTGTTCATGAAAAAATCACCAAGACCTACATAAGAGTCTTCGCTACGTTCATTACTCGTAATAGCTACGATAGAATATGCTTCTTAAAATTACAATTAGCTGTGACAACTTACATCGTCCATGACAAGAGGGGCTTGCCCGTTTTGAGGAGTTGGTGTGACCACTTGAGAAGGTAGTCCAACCATTGCACTCGCGTGTGTTCCATTCGTTGTCATCGTGGGTGCAAAGGGCGGATTAGACATAATTGGTTGAAATGGTGGCGGAGGATTATTGACCTGCTGTGGAAAAGGCGGTAATGAGTTGAAGCCTTGAATATTTTGCATATTTGGCTGGAAACCTCCGTTATTTTGGTTTTGCTGAAACTGAAAGCTATCCATTTTGATCTGAAACTTTGATGCAATGAGACTCAATTCAGGTAATAATTTAATTGTTCCGACCATGTCACTTAAATTACGGAGTGGAAAAATGGAAAAGCTACTTTTTCGCCCCATTTTTAGCTACCTCAAAGAAAATTCGCAAGTCGCAAAGAAAACTCGCAAGTCAGATCTTTAGAAAACCTTATTGGTCGTCATTCAGATTCCCAAAAAATCAATGTCGAGAAAATTGGGCCTAAAGTTTTTCCGTTTTTCAGACTTATTGAAACGAAGTTTACAATTGAAACGATAATAATCACTTGAAAATGAACTCTCAAATGAACTCTCCTGAGATATACACTTTGGTTAAGCTGTTATATTGTCTCTCTAAACGAACTCCAGCGCCCTGTACAGGATTAACACAGAGGCGAAGCTTCGCTCGCAAACACTTGCGAGAACACGACCAAAAAGCAGCTCTATCAAGTTATATATAAAAAAGTATAATTAAGCCTCCAATCAGCAAAATCTCGGCTACGTGTAGGATTCGAATCTGTGACCTACTGCAATCAAGAGATTTTGAGTCTCCAGCACTATCCTCTCAGCCACTCAAGCTTAACAACCGACAAACACTAGTCACGAATAAAGCAGCTACATATGCTAACAAATTGCCAATGCGATTCACCGCCAAATACATATAGACTCAATTTTGTGATTAATTATTTGGAATATAACAAGCTGAAGGCATCCATACTAACTTTGCATGTAACAAATCGCAAAACATAAAGCCACATTATGTATAAATTATGCATTTCAAAAAATTACAAGAAAAGTTGAGTTTTTATTATTCTGATGTTGTTTGAAACAAATAGTTTTTTTTTTCGTTTCTTTTGATGAATTAAAAATGCATCAATTGTGTTAATTTAGTCGCAAATGTCAAAATACATGCTATCAAAAAGCTGTAAAAGTGCCCCACTATAATAGTGCCGCACCAATATTTGCGACTTAGCTTGGAAAAAAAGAGGGTTCGCACTAAAACACTATCTTCGCAAGTGTAATAACAGGAATTTAGTTTAAAAGAAATTATTTAAAAAATTGTCCTTCAATCAATGTGGTCGGACCATTCTGTGCAACTTTCATAGCAACCGGATATCATTGTTGTTTTTATAAACAATTCGATTTTTAGAAAAATAAAATTGCACATAACAAATCACTGATACTAAAAACTTTCAGCTGATAAACTAGCTTCAAGAGATATAACTTCTTCGAAAAACAACGTCTTCCATCTGCATATCGTCTCCATTCCTTGTTTTCCAACGTCGTTAAGAAAATGACGAGAGTTCAAGCAACAAAATCCAACGGCCGATTAAAGCCACCTTTGCGGTTCATGTACTGTCGATAGTTTCTTTTCGTCGCAATTGCAGCGGCACTCTAAAAAGCAATGGAACCCACGCTTATTTGGATTTTTGGTCCACTCACCAATTTTGGTGGCAACGACTTGAAATTTTGGAAAAAGTTCAGAAAAAATCAGGTACAGCAATTTACCTTTTGAAGGTGATGCCTAGTGATACTTTGTATTTTGGAGAGTAATTTGCACAAAAAACAAGTTTGAAGATTTTGTTCATGAAAAAATCACCAAGACCTACATAAGAGTCTTCGCTACGTTCATTACTCGTAATAGCTACGATAGAATATGCTTCTTAAAATTACAATTAGCTGTGACAACTTACATCGTCCATGACAAGAGGGGCTTGCCCGTTTTGAGGAGTTGGTGTGACCACTTGAGAAGGTAGTCCAACCATTGCACTCGCGTGTGTTCCATTCGTTGTCATCGTGGGTGCAAAGGGCGGATTAGACATAATTGGTTGAAATGGTGGCGGAGGATTATTGACCTGCTGTGGAAAAGGCGGTAATGAGTTGAAGCCTTGAATATTTTGCATATTTGGCTGGAAACCTCCGTTATTTTGGTTTTGCTGAAACTGAAAGCTATCCATTTTGATCTGAAACTTTGATGCAATGAGACTCAATTCAGGTAATAATTTAATTGTTCCGACCATGTCACTTAAATTACGGAGTGGAAAAAAGGAAAAGCTACTTTTTCGCCCCATTTTTAGCTACCTCAAAGAAAATTCGCAAGTCGCAAAGAAAACTCGCAAGTCAGGTCTTTAGAAAACCTTATTGGTCGTCATTCAGATTCCCAAAAAATCAATGTCGAGAAAATTGGGCCTAAAGTTTTTCCGTTTTTCAGACTTATTGAAACGAAGTTTACAATTGAAACGATAATAATCACTTGAAAATGAACTCTCAAATGAACTCTCCTGAGATATACACTTTGGTTAAGCTGTTATATTGTCTCTCTAAACGAACTCCAGCGCCCTGTACAGGATTAACACAGAGGCGAAGCTTCGCTCGCAAACACTTGCGAGAACACGACCAAAAAGCAGCTCTATCAAGTTATATATAAAAAAGTATAATTAAGCCTCCAATCAGCAAAATCTCGGCTACGTGTAGGATTCGAATCTGTGACCTACTGCAATCAAGAGATTTTGAGTCTCCAGCACTATCCCCTCAGCCACTCAAGCTTAACAACCGACAAACACTAGTCACGAATAAAGCAGCTACATATGCTAACAAATTGCCAATGCGATTCACCGCCAAATACATATAGACTCAATTTTGTGATTAATAATTTGGAATATAACAAGCTGGAGGCATCCATACTAACTTTGCATGTAACAAATCGCAAAACATAAAGCCACATTATGTATAAATTATGCATTTCAAAAAATTACAAGAAAAGTTGAGTTTTTATTATTCTGATGTTGTTTGAAACAAATAGTTTTTTTTCGTTTCTTTTGATGAATTAAAAATGCATCAATTGTGTTAATTTAGTCGCAAATGTCAAAATACATGCTATCAAAAAGCTGTAAAAGTGCCCCACTATAATAGTGCCGCACCAATATTTGCGACTTAGCTTGGAAAAAAAGAGGGTTCGCACTAAAACACTATCTTCGCAAGTGTAATAACAGGAATTTAGTTTAAAAGAAATTATTTAAAAAATTGTCCTTCAATCAATGTGGTCGGACCATTCTGTGCAACTTTCATAGCAACAGGATATCATTGTTGTTTTTATAAACAATTCGATTTTTAGAAAAATAAAATTGCACATAACAAATCACTGATACTAAAAACTTTCAGTTGATAAACTAGCTTCAAGAGATATAACTTCTTCGAAAAACAACGTCTTCCATCTGCATATCGTCTCCATTCCTTGTTTTCCAACGTCGTTAAGAAAATGACGAGAGTTCAAGCAACAAAATCCAACGGCCGATTGAAGCCACCTTTGCGGTTCATGTACTGTCGATAGTTTCTTTTCGTCGCAATTGCAGCGGCACTCTAAAAAGCAATGGAACCCACGCTTATTTGGATTTTTGGTCCACTCACCAATTTTGGTGGCAACGAATTGAAATTTTGGAAAAAGTTCAGAAAAAAATCAGGTACAGCAATTTACCTTTTGAAGGTGATGCCTAGTGATACTTTGTATTTTGGAGAGTAATTTGCACAAAAAACAAGTTTTATGACCAGCGCGAGATCGCCTGAAAAAAAATTGGAAAAACCTTAGAAATTTTTGTCAAAGTAACTGTGATCAGAACCAGCGACTACTCTAAATACATCCTGAAATTTTCTCACAACTGTCAGAATCAATTTTCATGAATTAAATGTGTAGTCTGAAATGGTACCTGGTTATCTGCTTCTTCTGTTTGAGCATTTTTTGTCGTATCAAACGCACAGAAACCCATTGTTTTCATCATTTCTTTGTCTGCTTCAGACAACTCGTCCACAGCAACGACATTTTTGCTAACTTTGTGGTTAGAAACCAATTCCTAGAAATTATTACTATTATTTCATATCAATAATCGGAATTTTAAAATGTCATGGAAAAAACCTTACAATTGGAGCAGATAAGTTTCGTTTTTCCAACTCACTTTGCAAATCCGGTCCTCTGAACGCTTCTTTTCTTGCTGGCCGGTTGGGTGCATTTGGTGACTTCGATCTCCTTCGAGGAGAACGACTTCGATCCCTTTGTCCACGGTCATGCCGGTCTCGGTTTGATCGGTCACTGCGGTGATCAGGCGACTTCGAACGATGACGGTGCCTATTTCTGGCAGGAGATCGTGACCTCGAGCGAGGCATTTTTCTGAAAACTGGAGTTCCAATGTTTGAAATATTTTCCACGATTTATTACAAATCGACAGCAATCTTTAACAGAAACAAAGCTGGTCATTTCGCCAATTGCGATACAAAAAATGGTTCTAACACATTATACCCCCAGCCTTTCAATACAATAAGTATTATACCCCCAGCTTTTTAATAAAATAAGTATAGCTCCCAACACTGAGTTTACTATAATGGTGGGGTGTGTATGCTCAAGTTCTAAAGGAGCAACCTTCATACAAAATCACTAACATACCACAACTTCAAATTGAAACTTCAAACCGGGCCAAATTTGTCTTGAATTGAGTTTATTTAACATCTGAATTCATTTCACGACGATGAGAAGCTAGGAGTTGGGGGAAAAGGGTTGATCCATCTTCGATAGAGATGATGATTTTTATCTACTGAACAAAACAATAGTAATATAATAATGTAACATTCGCCCGGAAGATACATATCGACGGATAACAAAACTAAGTCTTAAGACGACTGGCTAGCGTCTAAACAGAGCTTTGCATGTTTTTCACCGTCTCTACCAAGCCAGTACTTTTCGGGGGTCTTTCTTACATCGGGTCGACAAAAACGTTACTGCTCTCCGGCTTCGACCAGAACGCTCAAATTAACTGAATTACATGCAAAATTAGTGAGCTCATGGCTGGGTCTCAGTATCCCCAGACCACGAGGTCACTCCTAAAAACAGGGCTACTACTTATTATATTACTATTGTTTTTGTTCAGTAGATAAAAATCATCATCTCCATCGAAGATGGATCAACCCTTTCCCCCACTCCTAGCTTCTCATCCTTATCAAAATGAATCCAGTTGTTAATTAAATTCAATTCAGGACATGACAAGAAGCTAAAAGTTTATATAAAAGGCTAAAAGTTCCAGTCCCGAAACCCTTCCGGATTCTTGAATCCAGTGAATCAAGCTCCTTAAGTTCAACTTCACACCAATCCGGAAGGCTGGTTCTCACCCTTCACCGTTGTCGGCAACGGCCTTGCAACTATTGTAGCAGCACAATAGTTGCAACTTGGAACGTTCTCTGCTATTGTAGTTCGTTGTCGTTTTTCTTTAATCTCGATTTTCGTTCTGTTCGCAATCACAGATAAAGTTGTTCTGTTTTTCTTAGTTCTTTTTCTAAAATGGCCGTTTCTGACGTTTCTCAGAAATGTTACGTCATCTCTTCGAAAATTTAAAATTTTAAAATACGGGAATATCCTGACCTTCACCGTTCTGCCAATCATCCGAATAACGTCGTTAATCCTTCGAAATCATCAACTCGGAAGGCTTACTGCTAAAAATTCGAAGTCTGCATAAATTGCATTTTGGCCATTCTGGTCGAATGTCACATACTCCCCGGACAGTCCGGTCAATGTCCTCATTGAATCGCTCTATGTTCGTAAAATGGATACAGTGTCATCGAACAGAATTTACAAAATGCACGAAATTACCTTTATCTACGTCACATCGACTCACTGCAGAATATAAATGGCATCATACTACATCACTATAGCCTTCAAATTCTCTCATTAATCTGCACTCTGAGGATATGACTTAAGATAAAACATATTTTCTGACTTCCAGTGTCAATGTCCCGATTAAAGCTTTTTCTCCTAGATTTAAAAGGTGTTGGCTTGCAGGACAGTCCTGCCAACCAACAAGCTAAAATTATCCTACTATGCTCCTTCCCTTCGGAAATCTTGCTTGTTTATTGTCCTGAATATTAAAACCAAAAAACCTTGTGGTTAGAAAGAACAATGCAACAACCTCCCTCCTCAAGAAGTTACTCAAGTTTTTCATGTCACCACAAAGTGATCAGTCTTCCTAAGTGATTAAAAACAATAATGCAGGCTGAAACATTTAAATATACTCTCCTCTTAAGCCTTTCTAAATAAATAATAAGTGAGTGTCTCTAAAGCCACTTCAACTAAAACCAAAATGCAAATTTATAAATGCAACAATTTCAAAACTCAACAAAAATGTTTCAGTTTTCAATTTCAACTTGGTTGCTTGGTTTCTCACTTGAGTTTTTCACACACATAAAACAATTCTGAGTTTTGACTTTTCTTCATCATTCCTTTGTTCTCCTCTTTTTTCGTCGTTTAGAAGTTCTAAAACTTCTAAATTCTTCTAATTTTCTTTCTTGCCGCCTCTTGTTTTCTCGACCATTCGTCAATGCTCCATTTCCTCCTCCTGTGACACTGACTCCGCACTTTCGGTTTCCGTGTCTTGTAGCACGTCATTGACTATCCTGACGCTGTTGGAAGCCGTCCTCCAACACTTCTGCTCTTCCACCCTCTGTTTACAGCAAGGTAGGGGATCCACGTTTGATTCTCTGTTTCTACAGAAGCTGTTGTGGAGACACAACGTCACGTTTCTCTCCAAATCTTCTTTCAGCATCTCTGCCTTCTCATTTCCACTACGCTCGCTCGTCCTGGAAATTCTTTTCACAGCGGTGGTCACTGCATTCCGATGGGTCACGAAAGCTCGCTTGAAAGCTCCTGCCCCAATGTCCAGCTGATATTCACTGTATACTCTGCCATACTTCGACATATGCTTTTTCGCATACTCGTACAACCATGCAGTCATGTTAGCTCTGAACCATGGCATCAATCGTTTTCTTGCCCATATCTTCTTCACTTCCATCGGAATGTTTAGAACTTTGCACATTGTCTCAAAAAGATCTAAATTTTTTAGACAATCTAATTTCTGCAATTGTTCTCTCGTCGGTGCCTCCTGTCTATTAATTTCTCTCACATGAGCTTCCAGCCATCGTATCGCCATCATAACTCCCACTATCACTATTGTTATGGGCTGTGATGAATCTGGTAAACCCATGGAGAGCAGCTCTCCAGAGTCCCAGATCAACACCAAATTACTACGCTTGGGATACCACCAGGTCTGCAGCAAGCAGTGGCAAGGAAACTCGTCATGTGTCAACATGATGCTCCTCCAATTGCGTTTTCCTGAAGCTTCCAGCAATGGTTCCACTTCCATCATCACTCGGTGGATTTCATCATTCTCGTCTACTGCATTGTAATCTGTGACAGTTGATCCTCTCTGTTTCTGTTTTTCAAAGTCACTGAAGTTCCCGCTCACATATCCCATGAACTTCTTTCCTAGTATTGACTCCAACTCCTCTTTGGTTCTCTCTGGAACTGCTGAGAACATCTTACATAGTAACTCGTAAGACTTTTCAGACATTCTCGCCAATCTCACGCACTTTGGCACTGAGAAAGCTTGATCCACGATCGTTCTTGTACTCTTCACGTCCACAGCCACGAAATGTACAGGGTATCTGCTCTTGCACATTGGAGCCAACGTTGAACCCACCAAATATCGTGCTCCTGATGGTCTACAATAACTTTCGCTGTGTCTGATGTTCATCTCTGTTTCGATTGCTTCCCTCCATTTTCCTATATACTTCTGCTCAGTCTGCAGAACTCCTGGGAATACTTCTACGCTGATGGCTGTGACCATCTCATGTTTCTGTTCTAGATTCAATAGTGACTCTAAAGAACCAAACATGCTGTAGAATCCTAGTGCTGTCACTAGATTCACATCGGTTCCTCCATGGCAATCTGCTATCAGTTCCGTTTCCGTTCTTGCTTTCATCACTACATTTCCAAACAATACTGTCAATTGCTTGTGTTGTTTCTCCAGGGTTTTCACACAGTCTAGACTTCCACAAACGTGACCCTCTAGTCCACAGACTTCCGCCAGACAGCTACCAGGTTTAACCCAGTCTTCTGGTCCCCAGCCAGGCAACTCCACTTTATCTTCTCCGTTGCTCTTAGAGGCTGTTATCATCACATTATATATGATGTTGAGGTCACGCAGGTTACAGTCCGCATTCAGTTCCCTCTGTATGTCTTGTGTCGCCCGTAATATTGAGTCAGCGTTGGGACTAGGACACCATGATGGCTTCATCAATTCCCACACTGCCATAAAGCTCGTTCTCAGTAATTCATCTGAGAATCATAACCCAAAGTCCACTCTCTTGTCGGATTTTGGTACTGAAGGTGCAGTCACCTCTTCTTCCAAGACCAATCCCAATTTGGCCTGTGGATTGTTAACGCTCTTAGTCGTCACAATTCTGGACGTCCAGAATCTTAGTAACACCGCCTGCTCATAATCAAAGAAGCAATCGCGTATGTCTTCACTCAGGAAAGGATTGTATGCTATCCCTATAATCCCGGACACATAGCTATATGACTTCTTCTTGATCGGTCCACAGTATTCACTGGATTTCGGCAATGCTCCCATAGATTCTTTAGTGAGCCTCAACTCCTTGTTTGAGAATCTCCTGATCTCGTCTATCTTTTTCATGGGTTCCAATTCTTCAGGTTCTTTCATGTTCACCCTCATCGGTTTACTTTGCTGCATATCCAGCATTGCTAGTAAGAACATGGCTTTCGTTCGCTCATCGCCTTCCCTCAACATTTTAACACAAGTGTTTAATGCAGGTCCTGAAATCTGCTCTATCAGGAATCGAATGAAACAGAGAGCGTCTCTCCGCTTTGCACACGCTACTGCTGCTCCCTCCTGGACTATCAGATCCCTCAGATTCGTCATAAGGAAAACTTTTTCCTCCTTTGATCTCTTCCTTTCTTCTGAATCATATTCTTCGCGAGTCAGTCCCATCATGCACCAGGCGAGCCTGAGTTGTAATTCTGTCCTTACGTAAGGTACTGCCACGAGAGCATGTATTCTTGGCGTAGTCCTCATTTCTTCTTCGAAATACCTCAATACTACTGCTTTCCATGGAAGGCTCACTAACTGCTCGATCGTCTCCGCCTCTACGTCAGACGACGCCAAAGTTCCATACGCCTTCTGCTTGAGGGTGGTGCCTTGCAACATCATTTCCAGATAACCCTCCATGGCTTTTTCGTCTTCCAGGGCCATTACATACCCTCTAGCCGAGTTCCGGTATTCCAACATCTCCATGTATCCACCGGTGGGTTCATCTATCGACACTGTCTCCGACACT